TTATTAGCCTTTTATTTTTAATGCTATTAAACCACATTCTTCAGTTTCAATTTTAGGGGAATGTCTTCTCGAGCATGTGTTCACCAGCTCATCCACTGTAACAATTCACCGCCCTCTCTCCTGCTTTACTGCAAATAAGGATGGACTTGGGTCATTTTTGTTGGCCTTTCTTTTTTTTTTTACAGTAGACAAATTCAATTACAAATTATAAAAGTCACCGTTGACTTAGAGGTAGACATGCAGTCACCCCTGCACATCCCAGTGTTATTATTTTGTCAAACCATCTGGAGAAGTCAGAAGCACAGCAACCTCTGTGCTAACCTAAGATATGGTCTCCAGGCATGAGCCAGCCTCCATTCATGTGTCATCAGGGCCACGGCCAGGTCCCACAGCCTTTCCCTCCCTCAAAAACCTCACCAACACTTCACTGCTGATCTTATGAAGGTTACATGGAAGAAGACTGAGGGGGGATCTGATCAAGGCTTATAAATACTTAAAGGGTGGGTGTCAAGAGGATGGGACTGGTCTTTTTTCAGTGGTGCCCAGGGATAGGACAAGAAGAAATGGGCACAAACTTGAACTTAAGAAGGTCCATCTAAACTTGAGGAGGAAATTCTTCATTTTGAGGGTGGCAGAGCCCTGGAAAAGGCTGCCCAGAGAGGTGGTGGAGTCTCCTTCTCTGGAGACATTCAAAACCCATCTGGACATGTTCCTGTGCAACCTGCTCTGGGTGGACCTGCTTTGGCAGGGGGTTGGACTGGATGATCTCCAGAGGTCCCTTCCAACCCCTTATCATTCTGTGATTCGGTGGATGGTGAAGGTGACGCTTCTCCCAGGGCATCATCATAGATGGATCCAGCTTTCTGCTTCCACTTGGGTGAAGTGAGAGGTTGAGTCCCACAAACCCTAACCCCACCCAGCAAAACCCCTCAGCCCATTGTGCCCATACCCAAGGGTTTGTCACCACAAACTGCTCCTAAATGTCTGCACAGCTCCTACTTGCAGCTGCCCACCTTCTGTTCTTCCAACAAAAACCTGATTTCGGGGTATTTCAATTGAATTTCAGCCTGTATCCAAGTGAGATTTAACCAGACCTGAGTGTAATGCAAAACCAATCAGCCCGTGGACTGAAAGAATGTTATGTGCTGTTTTTTAAAATTAAAAATGCAAAATGTAAATAATCTGAAAAAAAACTGAAATTGCTTAAATAAGTGCAGAGTAACTTATGGGAAGAAAAAAGCACAATTCCACGGGCAGACAATCTCCAGAGGCAAATCAATAAGTTGCGAAGGGCATATTGACCAGTAAAAATGAACCTTGGGAAAATAGCTAAAAATTAAAAAATAGCGAGTTGATCAATTATTTAAAATAAGGACTTTCAGCTTCCTAATATGAAGTATGATTAAAGCCAGTGATTTAAATATTTTGACTGCAAAATCCCAGGTCAAATTACAGCCTGATGCTGGCAAATGACTTCATTATCCAGACTTTGCTTGTGTAATAGCAGCTGTTTTAATTTTCCTGCAGAAATTCTTAATTTATTTCTGAATATGCTTTTATGTGAATAAACTCACATTTTTGCAGGGATTTTTTTTTCTCTTTCTCTCTCTTTTTTTTTTTTTTTTAAACACATTACCAATTTGTTCTCCATTAAAGAAAAAAAATAAATAAAAAAAGATTAAAACTGAAGTGCAGTGAACCTCTGTTAACATCAGCCTTTTTCTCGTTCGGTTCCATTTCCTCTGCTTCGGATGAAATGAATTCATTAGTGAAGAGCCTCGATGACTGCAGTTTAGCCTTCCAGTCTTTTTTTTTTCTAATGTAAGATTTGGAAAATTCATCTTTGCTGGAGTGAACTGGTGCTTGCTCACACCCCACTAGCAGCAGTGACTTGGCAGCTTTTGCTGGGCACCACACGGGTCCCTTTTTGACCCATGGCTGGAGATTTATTTCCTGCCAAACCCACGGGCTTCACGATGAGGATGCTGCGAGCGAGAGCTGGAAACACACGTGCGACGGACCTTCTCACACCAGGCTGGTCCTGGCATCCTTCCCCAGGAGACAGGTTTGGCTCCTGAGCACTGAATTTGGAGCAAAACTTTTATTGCTTTCACTCCAGTGCCTTCATTATCCATCACACTGGAAAAAATACTTTGCCAGGAGCCCCTGGAAGGTGGGTAAGCCTCTGCTCCTGCATGGTGGCCCCAACACAGAGGCTAACATTTCTCTTCTTGTACAATGTGCAAGACCCAGGACTTTTCTGGGGATATTTTGGGAAAGGGACGCTCAACAGCTGCTGTTCAATTCCATCCGTGTCCCTCCACAGAACCCTGTGTTGAAGCTGCATCAGCAGCTGGGCAATGCCAGTGGGTGCTTAGCTCTCTGGCAACCTTCTAGTGTCAGAATTATTTCATCTAGGCATGGATTTGGCCGAAATACACTTGTCAACACAAGGTCATGTTGCTCACAGCTACCCATGGAGGTCCTGCTTGGACATCAAGGCTCTGCTGAATGTGGCCTTTCAGCCCAGGAATGAAATTGTAGGTGTTGGCTGAAGGTAGCATCAGGGTCCACCAATTCCTCCCAAGACATGGAGCTGTCTCATACTTTGTGTCTCCCAGGGCTATCCTTGGGGTGTCCCCATCAAGGACTAACTGGGGGAGCCACATCAAACTCCCCCAACTCCTGCACCCATAACGCTGCCCCCTCCCCTCCAGGCAGGAGCCCAGCTCAATGCTGTGGAGCAGCTTCATTGCTCTGTGTGTGAAGGCAATGCTGGAGCATCCAAGAGGTGACACAGGCAGGTACAGCTGAGCCATCAGAGCTAATCTGCCAAAAGGGTTTGCGTGCTTCTCTTACTGCACCAGTGGTGGAAGCAGGGACACCAGAGCTGTAACTCAGCCTGTTCCTACAAGGACCCTGGGGAGACCCTAGCACCTTCCCACCACTCCAGGAAGAGATGTTCAACGTTTACCATCCTACCTCTGGGTTCTGCCTTGGATGCTCTGCCCTCAAAGCCCCCACTGCAGTCACAGCATCCCCCTCCCTCCCCAGCACATTCTCTTCTGAGAGTCAATGACCTTGTGCAGTACATTTTTGCCCATTAAGGTCCAGCCTTAAAGCCCTTATAACCTCTTTAAGGCACTGGGGGTTGCACAGGTGGAAGGATGAGACTTGCCCCAGAGTAAAGGAGATTTTCATGCCTGTCCCCAGGCCCTCAACCCAAGCGCTGACCCTGGTGGGCTCAGGCACAGCAGCAATGACCACTCAGGGGTGGCTTCACCAGCAGAGCAAGCAGGGAACGCCTTTGGGTTTGTCCTTCCAAACCCTATTGATTAGAACAACGCCAAGCCGGGCTGTCTGTGCTGCTCTGCATGAATTGGTGCCCCGCGGCCCATCGTCTGCTGCTGTCATTGAATTACCCCGAGCCCTGTGCTGGAGAGACCTCGTGCTTTCCTCAGCCTCGGGGAACCCACACAGGACACTGACCCCGAGGGGTGTCTGGGATATCCAGCTCGTCCCCTCCACCAGGGCACATATAACCTTTGCTTACACGGGTTTTCTGCAGCCTCAGAATGGCTCCACGCGGGCTTTTCTTGTGGGTTTTTTAATGTGGTCTCTCTCTCCTTCCCCTGTTTTCACAATCCCACGGCGTGGCCAGCAGAATCAGGGACAGGAGGAGATGGGCTGATGGACAGAAGCTCCCAGCGAGGCAGCGTGATCGCAGAGAGCCGTTTTCCTTAGGAAATAAAAACCTACGGGGAAAAAAAAAACAGCCCATTGTCATTGTTTATCTCCTTTCTGCAGGTTTTGTTTTTTTTTTCATTGGGAAAAAGTCAGCAATGCAGCAAACAGCTTCATGAATATACAGATTGGTTTTGGCAACGGCCAATTAGCAAAGAATGTGTTCATGCAATCCCCAACCAGCTACTTCCCTGGGAATTTCTTGTTCGGAACAAGCCATTTTTCGTCAGAGAAAATAAACACATTTGGAAAAAATAGTTCCTGCTGGCTTTTATGACCAGAGGAAGCCTGGAGAGGGGCAGCAGCCACCACCGTGGGCTGGCTGTATGCCCTGCTGGCTCACACACCTGCACCAGGACCTTCTCCTACACACAATATGGCAAAAGGACGCGTTCCCAGCCCATGCACTTGGATCAATAACACAATGTCTTCAAGGACATCTGGAAATGGGACTGGGAAGGCAATTATAAACCCAGCCCGTGCACCTCTTACTCACTCTCAAGTCCTGATTCTTCTGCTTTGATCGCAGGTCCATTGGGTTGTGTGTCATGTGGTGTCCCTCAGGGATCCGTACTGGGGCCAGCACTGTTTAGTATTTTCATCAACGCCATAGACAGTGGGATTGAGTGCAACCTCAGCAAGTTTGCAGATGACACCAAGGTGAGCGGTGCAGTTGACACGCCTGTGGAACAGAATGCCATCCAGAGGGACCTGGACAGGCTAGAGAAGTGGGCCTGTGTGAACCTCATGAGGTTCAACAAGGCCAAGTGCAGAGTCCTGCGCCTCCTTGCCCAGGGCAACCCCTGGTATCAATACAGACTGGGGGATGAAGGGGTTGAGAATAGATCTGAGGAGAAAGACTTGGTGGCACTGGGGGTGAAAAGCTGGAGATGAGCTGACAATGTGCACTGGCAGCCCACAAAGCCAACCACATCCTGGGCTGCATCAAAAGAAGCGCGGCCAGTAGATCAAGGGAGGTGATTCTGCTTCTCTGCTCCGCTCTGGTAAGACCCAGCCTAGAGTACTGTGTCCAGCTCAGGGGCCCCCAACATAAGAAGGACATGGACCTTTTTGACTGGGCCACAAAAACGATCAGAGGGATGGAACACCTCTCCTACGAGGACAGGTTTCTCCACCCAGCATAAGAGAAATAAACGTAACACTGTGAGGCTTCCAAGCAGTCACCTCCCAGCTTTACCCGACAGACAGCGAATGCCATGAACCACAGATCAGGGAGATGATCGAGGCACTTAAAGTTAGATATGACAGACAGCTTTTTATTTCCCAATGTTTTAATTTAACAAAGTGCTACATTCCATAGTTACAGTATGAGGAGTTGTTCTTGTCCGAAATAGAAAACCACAAGAAAGCACGAGGACTGCGAACATCACTCTATGGAAGCAGTGCAGTCCAGAGAAACCTCACCTCGGGTGAACAGCTGGCATTAGAGACACCTTTAAAAAAAAAATCAGCAGCTGTAGAGTGTAGGGGCATTTCATCAGGGAAAGAGCTGCACGTCAGGCAGGCTGGTTCCTCCCGTGGGGAATGGGGCCGTAGGTGCCGAAGCGGTTGCGTGACGCCGACAATAAATTCCGGCTTGTGCTACTGGGAAATCCCAAGCTGGACATCCACAGGACAACGGAGGCGAGTGACTCCTCTTGTGCAGAGTCAACAGAGATCATTATTGCTGCAGCCAAGTCGCCACCGTGGCTTTGCACGGGGCCAAGGCTGCGTCAGCCGTGCCACGACCCACCTCTCCATTCAGGGGCTTGCAGTTCACCCAGCACGGAGGATGAGGAGGGCTCTTCTTGGCTATTTTTCTTGCCTTTTTTTTTAATTGGCTTTTTTTTCTTTTTTTTTCTCTTTCAAAAGAATCTGCTTGTTTGGCAACGCAGGGGAACGGATTAAATCAGTAGAGCATTAAGAGACTGCAGGCTTCAGCACCCACCTGAAGCCCTCCTCCCCTCCCTGCCTGCAATCTCATAATTTCAAGCAAATGAATCAAACTCCAAGAACTATACAGAGAATATTTTTAAGAGCCCAATCCAAAGCCTTGTGGCCTTGGACGAGAAGGGAAGGAGCTGAACGATGCTTGTGCTTTAAGGACCTGCAGAAATTGCACTGCAGAAAACCCTCTCTGTGCTCCAAAGGCTCCTACAAGCTTCACTGGGGACCCAGGGCTGGTTTTGCCTCTCCCTCTTGCCTCCACGCTAAGAAGAACTAAGCTGAAGACACAGGGAGCCCCCAGGCTCTGACCAAACCCAACTATTCAACAAACACCTCCACATCAACCGGACATGGGCTGGGACCTCTCTGCACTGCTGAGTGGCTCAGAAAATTGGCCAACGGTAGTCTTCTGCCAGCCAGCAGCTCCCCACCAAGGCACCTTGGCTGGTGGTGTTCAGAGGCCTGGGAGTGAAGATGGACCACAACCAAAATCTTTGGGCAGCTCTTCTATTCCACCAGGCTGGCTCCAGCACAGACCACAGAGCCAACAATGAACTGCACCTTCAGCTGGACCTCCCTTGTGGCTACAACTCTCCTGCTTGCCCAGTTTGTCCCAACATACTTGCTGTATGACCACTCTAATATCTGCAAAGGTTTGTCAGCTCCACTTGCAGCCCTGCTGATTTCCAGCGTCCCAGCCACCCACGCCTTGTCCTTGCTGAGCTACACCTGGCTCTTGAGGACACCAGGGCACCTTCATCATTCTGACCAGCAGCACTGCCTTTAATTTCTCAACTTCATTACGTTGGGCAGGGAGAAGAAGAGAGACAGTGAAATTGATTGCCACTGCACGAAGTCAGAGTTTCCCAAACCGTGGATTTATGAGCACAACAAAAGGCCACGGCACCTCCCCACCAGCTTTCCCAATCCATCAAATCAACAATCCATCCATAAAGCTCTCCTTGCGCTGCCGGAGCTGTGGTACTCACAGTCAGACCAGCAGCCACGCTCAGCCATCCCTCCTCCTCCTCCTCACTGCCCCAAGAGCCCTGTGTTTTATCTGTTCCTTAACGCACCTTGTGCCATGATCACACGCTGAGCAGACACCCTACCGTTAGCAGGAAAGCAAGAGGAGAATGTCCTTCAAGGGCTGTTATCACACAAAACCCTGCTGATCTCCAGCCGCTTGGGTCTTGCTGGTACATCTGCTCAGTGCTGCAGCATCACTGGCAGCTCCTCTTTCCCAGTGTTATTTCGGGTCTCTCTTTCAGGCCACCACTGCATGCAAAGGGCTCAGCCAGCCCAACTGCCCTCCCTTCTGCTCCAACAGAGGAGAGGCCAATGCCCTTCGTCACTGCTTATTCTCCACGCCTCCCTGGCTGGACCAAGGTAAAGCATTTCAAGAACATCATGGTGCTGCCTATGTAGTCCTGTCCCCAGCCTGCCCGGTGCTGTACCTAAAAGACAAGGCTTTCTGGAGATGATCTCAAGCAAACTGGAATGGAGGAGAAGTCATCCTACCTTGCAACCCTCATCAAGCCTTGCTAGGAACAAATCACCAAAGAGTCCAAGGGACAATATTTCTTGATTCCAAAAACTGCAAGCCAGCAACGCTCAACTGGACCGTTAACACGTCCCTACCACCTCCAAGCTCCAAGAGGCTTAGGAATGAGAAGAAAATAGGGAGAGATCAGTCTGGAAGGAAAACTTCTTCTTACTTTGGACTGATCACTTGTTATGGAAGAAAGAGGCTTTAATTTTGGGTAGGAACACCTGGATTTAACAGTGGGCTGCCAGGGAGAGCTGCAAGCTCTGTGGAGCCCTGGCTGGGAAAGCCTGTCCTAGAGGGATTAGGGTATGGAGACTTCCCAACACGTTTTCCTGTGTCTTGGCCAACCTGCTTCCCAAGCACTCGTTGTGAGGGACCACGCACAGCTCTTGGACTTGGATTAGGGTATGGAGACTCCCCAACACGTTGACGTTTTCCTGTGTCTCGGCCAACCTGCTTCCCAAGCACTTGTTGTGAGGGACCACGCACAGCTCTTGGACTGGAAGACTAGCATTAGTAGCAGCATTTTGTATACAGGCTGTCCTGCCTGTCCTTTGCCAGGTGACTCAGTAGAGGTGTGGGTAAGGCCTACAGGGAAGAACCTGGGCTCTGAAGAGCACTGCTTGTTCAGAGCTGAACATCACATCTGATGACTTAATGTCCAGACGAGGCCCTGACCCTCTCAAGAGAGAACAGAGCTTCAGGAGGGTCTTCCAAATATCCTCTCTACGTTGCAAACCCACTTACATGCCCACGAGACATTTGCTTACAATCATCTGCATCTAGCCATCTCAATCTGATGGGCCTTTTCAGCTTTACAAGGAATGAAATCCTGCAATCCTCCTCAAACTCTCCTCCCTTCCACATCTCTGAAGATCGAGTGGGATTTAATCTCAGCAGACGTGGGGTCTGGTCTTATTTAGCTGATCAGGTCTCCTCTGGCAACAGGGGCTGTTCCTTGTATGAAGGACAATTCCCCACAGAACAGTGATTCCCACCTCAGAAACATGAATGTTTTACATAAATGTCAGACTCGGACTGATGTCATTTCACAACCAGAAGCAGAGATAAAGTAACGCAGCCCTTTTTCTAGCTATTTTGACAGCATTTCTGTGCAAAGCAACATTAGTTTCCCCTGCTCGCTTCCCCTAAGGTCTCAGACCCCTGGCTGTCTCCCTCTACAACCCGCTCGAGCAGCCCAGGCAGCACAGCAGATTGCCCTCACCCCATGCCACCCTTGGCCTTCACTTCCACAACCCTCTGCAGCCAGCTGTCCTCCAGCTTCTCCTTTCCCTCCATGGCCAAGGGCTCCCAGCAAGACCACTTCCCTTCCCCATAGCAGACACCTCTCCAGCTGTGGCTACCACTGCTTTCTGACTAGGAGCCACAAATCAGGGATGTGGACTCTGCCAGCCACCTGCTCCACAATCTTTGGTGCCTTTCTGCATTGGGTGGTCTGAAGACCAGGACCCACCCAGATCCTCCAAAGGTGTTGCCATTCACGCAGCTTTCAGGGGCTGAAAATGAAGTTTCCAGCAGGTAAAGGAGATAGATGCTCTGCTTTCATCTCTCCGTGAATGCAGCCTTATGAAAGAGAAGAACCCATAAGTAGTGTCCTTCAAACAGGGGGCAGAAGCTGAAGAACCCCCCGTCCTGGCTCTTCTCTTACTTGCACACAGAACAAAAGCTAAGAGATCCATGCAAGACCATCCGTCAGTAGGTGAGCGCTGGTATTTATTGTGCTGTAACAGACAGTGCTGGTTGACAATGAACTATGATTTTTGCTGTGAAATCAAGTGTCGAGGCCATTCCTGTGTGTCTCCAAGAAGCGTGGAGCAGAGCCGAAGGAAGAAAGAAGGGGTGAGAGCCGGGGACCCGAGTGCAGAAATGTGCTTCAAACTGTATCAACAACACTGTACGTGGGCACTTCTCAGGTGGCAAGGGATACAGTCCAAGTGTATAACTCATTAATTAAGCAGAGCAGCTAATCTTAGCACTAATGAACTCTAGCTCAGGTAATGTAACATTTAAAATTAACAAATTGGACAGAAGTCATTCACAGTAAAGATTTCCATTCCCGGGCTAGGGGAGAGCTATCGTTATGATTAGATTACTGCCAGCCAGGACCAGGAGAGTACACCGGGGTAAGAGGAAAACGATCGTCCGTATGGATCAGCTCCAGCTGTGGCTCGGAATGAGGCGCCGGGTGCGAATGTGAAATCTCACTACTGTGTCAAAACAAAGATCACTGGGTGGTACACGTAGAGCGTAGCATGCCGTTGGGCCGGGGTGGGACCGACCGGTGGCTCCGGGCGGCGGGGAGCAGCGATGCAGCACAAAGTCGCTTGTTCCTTTTCTTCTCTCCCTCCCTCCTTTCTTTTTAAAAGTCACGGGCTACCGCAAGGGCACTGCAGTTCAACTCAAAATTCATCTTCGGAGCTGTCGGCGAGGAGCATGACTCGGTCTTGCATGCTGTTAAATTCCCTCTGCTGGGGGGAGAAAAGAAAACAGTGAAGAGCTCCATGTGCAAAAAGGAAAGAGAGAACAATACTAGAAAGAGTCCAGCGAAGGGCAACAAAGATGATTCAAGGATTGGAGCATCTCCCTTATGAGGAGAGACTGAGAGCTGGGACTCTTCAGTCTGGAGAAGAGAAGGCTGAGGGGAGACCTTATCAACGCCTACAAGTATCTCAAGGGAGGGTTGAAGGAGGAGGGAGCCAGACTCTTTTCAGTGGTTCCCAGTGAGAGGACGAGGGGCAACGGGCACAAGTTGGAACATAAGAGGTTCCACTCAAATATGAGGAGAAACTTCTTCACGGTGAGGGTGACGGAGCCCTGGAACAATTCAGTGAAATTCAGTGAAATTCAGTGAAAACTTTCAGAGCCCCCCCCCATACTCCAACCGAGAGATGCCAGGCACTTTAAACCCAGACAAACCATAACCAGGCTGCGCTCGCTTTACAGCCAGGATGGGTAACAGGAGAGTGGGTGGGATTGGGCTCTTCCTTTGCAGCTGCCCATACCTTTCTTTTGTGTCTCTTTGAGCCACTTCTCCTTCGGCGATTCATGATCTTAATGCTGTAGAGCGCTCCCAGGATAAAGAGGGCTCCGGCTATTCCGACTCCCACGGGAACCAGCATCCCCGACATGTATCCTGCCTATGGGGAAAAGAGAGAAGCAGAGCAGCACTCACAAGACCATCCTTTCAGAGTCACCTTCCACCAGTCTAGGACTGCGAGAGATCCCTACGCTGCTTTTGTCAAAGTTTGTTGTATTTGAGTCCCTACCGCCCGCATTTCTGTACGTTTGCATTGCCTATTAAAAAAAAAATATAGAGATACCATGACTAATTTAAAATTACACATTTAAACACTTTTAAGTCCTTTGGAAAATATTCCCAAGTGCTTGTTATTTTATATTTTACTGCTTTAAATGAAAATCAACCCATTATGAAGTGCCAGATTGCTTCAGCATCCTCACCTAAGTCAGGCTGGGGGGCTTGATGGAGTAAGGGAGGCAGGTACAGCCCAGCTCCCTCCCTCATTAGTTCACACTGCAGCAAGAGAGTCCTCTGCTGCAGCACCTCAGCTTTACCCTTCACCGTCTACACCCCCCAAAAACAGATTTTACACCTGCCAAGGGACACATGCACAAGTCAGGGAACGATCAGACAGCTCTGAGCAAGCCTCAGTCCATCGCTCATCTTCATCTGCATCCCTGAACTGCAACACGACGGAACAACACACGCTCACAGCATAATTGCTTTTCTTCCACAATCCACTGAGTATGTTGGGGGGGGTAAAAAAGCTTTTCAGAGTGTGCTGCCCTGCCTTCCTGTGCTTCCCTGGAGAACAAAAACAACCGCTTTCATCTAGGGCAGACACAATGCTCACAAGGGCTGTTTTGGCATCCCAAACCCCTCCAGATCCTGCTCGGTGCTTTAAATAGTAACACCTTTGTTCTTGGATCCCAAGGCTTGAGGGATCTTCAGCTGCATCGTGCAGGTCCCCTGAAGGCTTTCCCCCCCCAGAACACACAGCCCTGCTCAGCACAGGTGCCTGGAGGGGGGCTGTGTGTCTGCACCCCCTTTCTCGAAAAAGGAGGTTAGTGAGAACACAGCTAAAAAGACTGTATCTCTGCGAGGCAATTAGGGTGCCTTAATTGGGTGACCTAATTAGCACAGCGTGGGTTTTTCTATTTCTGGAACTTTGGTGCTGGCGTGGGTGGTGAGGGGAGACTGGAAATGGCATTTTAGCTGCTGCCCAGCTGAGTTTCCATAGCAGAAATCACTAGTTTTAACACAATGAACTCCTGAGCACATCCATGAGCCTTTATCATGCCTTTTCCCTTTTACAGGCTTCCCCCAACAGCTGGACCAACCATTTCGACCCCAAATGCTTGCAATGGGAAGCAGATCCAGGACCTGTTCTCCCAGCCCTTCTGTGTCACGCAACCCAACTCATGAGGGCTTCTGCACTTGCCTGAGAGGAAACCCCATTTCACAGCCTGCTCCAAAGCCACATTTTCATCCCTTGCCCATGGGGAAGATGTAGCTCTTTTTCAGGTCCTAGAGATGCTTTTAATATACCCAATCCATGGCCACAACCTTCCTGGCTCTGCTGGACTTGAGATAACAGCAACACAGGACTTCAGAGGAACCTCATGTCCATTATTCAGCATGCCAAATGCAACATTTGAACAGTGTTTGCAGGAGACTGGACATAAATTTGTCACTGATCCATGCTTCTGGTCCCACACTCCCCACACCCTTCCCTCTCCCGGCACGGCAGCCCTGACAGACACAGGAGGACACATCTCTTGGGGATGGGGCCGTCACATGCCAGGATACTCTTCTGGATGAGGGGATTGAAAAATAGAGAGGAGAGGGCTCTGCCAACAGCAAATGAGAGGGGCACATATTATGACTGGTGCTGATACACTCATCAAGGAAGAGGAAGAAAAGGGGTGAGCGGGTTTATTTGGGAGTGGTGTGGTTCACCAGCATTCCATGGGGGATCAGGGAGTGGTTTTTCTTGGGCTTTTCTAAGGGAAAATGTGAACAAGGTAAAAGATTTGCCTCCACACACCTGCCGTTCCCCAAAGGAAGGAGATGGCTTGGGGCTGAATCTCTCTGAAGTGGACACTTGCACATCCCCAGTTACACCAGTGCTTTTGCTGGTCACTGCCATGCAGCTCAACATCTACCTGCAAGAGGTTCAGGCTCTACAGAGCAACTCTGTTGGAGACTGGAAGATGCACACAGCCACCTCTGCAACGTGGGGAAGGACAGAGGTAGCCAACAAGGTGCCCAGAGGAAAGAAGTAAAAGCTAGGGCTTTGGTGAGAAGATGCCTGATGCCCCCACACTCGTGTTGTGCTGGCTCAGGCCAGTCTGGCATGAGCAGGTGACCCGTGCATGCTACATTCACTCCAGGCACCCAACTGCCTTTTACCTTTGTCAGGAAAACCATTCTCTGTCCTCTCAGCATTCGCTCTGGCTGAATCCCAGGCCAAGGTGCTCTGCTACGAGCATCGCTCGTACTAGACATGCCTCCTTCCTATTGTAGGCAGAAAAGCAACTCAACGAGCGCTGGGCAGGAACCCACCTTAAACCCTTCCACTCCCCAGTTCTGGAAAACAGACACCCAGACCCCGTCTCTCTGTTCAGGCTTGATGATAAGGTGCTGCTGAAATTTGGTAGGGATCACGTGGGAAGGCTGGGCTCACTGGGTGACAACCTACTTAAGCTTAGAGATGTATTTTCAGGGGCTGGAGTTTCTATCAAGTCATTACTCCTTGTGGTGGCTTTTTGGGGTCTATTGACTCTGATCCTGCTCAAGAATTTTCAAGCCCTGTTGAGTCATAAAATGTTCTTATCTTAAAACACTACTGTCACCTCATTTCTACCTTCATGGCTTTGCTGTCATCAACACAACATTTGGAAGGCTTCACAACCGTTTCAAAATGTTAATATTTGCCCTAGGGCAGCAGAGCCTAAAAAGCCATCACTGCCTGTGGCTGGAACAATGCTTAGTTCCATGCACCATCACCCTGCAACGCCAGGGAGAAAAGATCAGGGTCTGTTATTTTTTTCAGTCTTCCTGTGTTTGCTCTTTTTCCTCCCAAGAATTTGCAGCTCTTCTTGCAGGTGGAGGCAAGAAAGGTCTCATCGAGAAGTGGTGGCACAGCACGCAGCCTCTCACCAGAGAGGACCACGAGATCCTCTTGATCTTGGATCTAGAACCAAGCTTAGGACTTAGAGAAAAGGGGTGGAGTTAAGTTACAGGGCAATATAAAAAAGTAACTCGGAAAGTCTGAAGAGAAAGTGATTTTCTAGTGCAGAGAAGCCTACCCAATACTGCTGTCCCTCCTCCTGCTCTTAGTTACTAATCAACAGGGATGTACTGTGGGTTTACACCACTCCATACAACAGCAGCATCTGGTTCCTTGCCTCCCAGAGAAAATTTTAAGCCCCTTCTCAATTGTCTTTGTAGAGATAATTAACTCCAGTGACAAGAGTTTGTTCCTGCAAGTAAAAATGGGTTTGCTTTTAAAGTAATCAAAACAGAGACTCCTACCTTATCTTTCAGCTTCTCCATCCAGCTTCTCACTGAAAAATAAGACAAAAAAAAAAGCTGTAATCATGTTACTTGCGTTATATTAATTAGTAACAAATGATAATGATAGTATTAAAATAGACACTAATTAACTTGACAAGCTGATAACACTTTTCATTAGATTTCCTCTCTTCCCATTCATGAAAAAAAGCAAATGCAGCAAATCAACAAGAGAAACTCTTCAAGTGAGTTGCCTGTGCGATTCACATCTTCAGAGTGACTAAAAGAGGAAGATAAAAACCAATTATTTCAGGTTTTTAACCAGCACTTCCCATACACACAGTGGAATGCCAGACAAGGAGAAAACCTGACAGCATGGCTACCTCCTTCCACTGGCCTCCTCCACATAGACGTTCCTCCCTCTATTTGGCATAGCCTGCAACGATGCTTAAGAAAGTATTATTCCCTGTCTTTTATTCCCTTGCTTTTCTGGAAGCAGCCACTGCCTGCTCTGGGAAGTCACCAGATAACACGTGAGGACTGGGATAGTATTGTGGGTGCTAAATTACTAAATCAAGTCAATTTATGCTGCCATCATAGGGACTTTCGCTTCCTAACAGTTAATGTTAAGTCAGGTCAAATATCATACCTGAGAATTACAAGTCTTTAACGGCATGTACTTTAGGGTGAAATATTCAGCTCATCTCAAAGAACTGCAAAGGCTTAGCAGTGGGTGCACGACCCATTAACTCCACAGGTGAGTGGATTCGTCTGCGCTGCACCGAAGGCAAAAGTCCCAGCCTTTGAGATATCCACTAATATTTTAACCAATTCCTGCTCACAGGTTAAGAGGCAAGCAAACAGTTAAATGCAGTTAAATTCAGTGTATGGCAACTGCGTTTTAAGCCCTGGTCAACGATTTCTGTTTCTCCAGGAGGCACAAGGAGATGCCTTTCTCTTGGATAAGAGGCAAGCAAACAGTTAAATGTTGGGGGGTTTTCAGTGTATGGCAACTGTGTTTTAAGCCCTGGTCAAGGATCTCTGTTTCTCTGGGAGGCACAAGGAGATGCCTTTCTCTTGGATGCACTAATGTCCCAAAATACAGAATCACAGAATCACATGGGGTTGGAAGGGACCTCTGGAGATCATCTAGTCCACCCCTCTGCCAAAGCAGGTCCACCTAGAACAGGTTGCACAGGAAAGTGTCCAGGCAGGTTTGAATGTCTCCAGAGAAGGAGACTCCACCACCTCTCTGGGCAGCCTCTCCCAGGGCTCTGCCACCCTCAAAGTGAAGAATTTCCTCCTCATGTTTAGGTGGAACTTCTTATGTTCAATTTTGTGCCCATTACCTCTTGTCCTGTCACTGGGCACCACCGAAAAAGACTGGCCCCATCCTCTTGACACCCACCCTTTAAGTATTTATAGGTGTTGATCAGATCCCTCAGTCTTCTCTTCTCCAGACTAAAAAGGCCCAAGTCCCTCAGCCTTTAATACATTATATCCCAGATGTAACACACCATTTATGGAGTGAGACCCTATTTCCAAGCCTACTTTCTCGTAGAAGCTCCCTTCAAAGCTTGCATTAGCAGTGTCAGAGCCTGC